AATATTCTTAAAATAAAATCTAAAATAAAAACAATAAACTAAAATATAAAAAAAGTTAAAATATGTAAACGGATGTCAACATCCGTTCACGGAGGATATTGACATGGCAAGGGTAAAGTCGAATATATATATATATATATATATATATATATATATATATATATATATATATCCGACTTGACTCACAAACTCAGCTCATTACGGGTTTAACTCAAGTAAATCAGGTTCTTAGTGGGACATGTTAATTTTTTGCCCGTATTGAAATTTATAAATTTTTTTAACCCAATCTTTCTTTAATATGTGGTGAACGAGGTTAACTCACGAGTTTTAATCTATTTTGACAGTTCTATTTTTTTTAGTTGTTGTAGATAATGCTAATTATATAGTCAATGACATGGAATATATATCTTCTTCATCAATTCATACTAGTGTTGTCCTACCTTGTTGATAGTCTTAAATAAAATATAATGTTCAAATATAAAATTAACTTTATTAAAAATATTTGGTCAGAATTTTTGATGAAAAATGTAACACCCCAAATAATAGTAATATACTACCAGTTAAGACATTATATAGTTGTTATTCATGCGTAAACAAGCTATATAATTACTTCATTACAGTCATCCCATAAACAAAGCTATATAATATTCATGAGGGTGTATATAGGTGCGGAAAGCAATATCCAAATTTGAGATTCAGATTCCGAAGGTTATTTCCTACACCATCCCAAATTGCTCCTTGTATCACCGTATTTTTTGAAAATTTCAAAGTTATTTTTTTATATTTTAAAAAATTCTACACTCCCACTTATTTTCTTCAACGGATATACCACATCTATTAACGAATGTGTCCACATCCGTTAACGAATGTGTCCACATCTATTTAAGTTTTATGTTTTTTTTAGTTTTTAGTTAATTAATTAATTGTATTAATAATAATTATTTAATTAAATAAAATTAAATTAATTTACGTAATATATTATAATAATATATAATTTAATTAAAATATAATATTTAAATAAATTAAAAATAAAAATAAAATTAAAAAACTTAAATGGATGTCACACATCAGTGGATTATAATTAATTAAAAAAATTTATAATTTAATTAAATTAATAATTATTATTTAATTAAATAAAATAAATTAATTTATTACGTAATTATATATAAATTAATTTTATTTAATAAAATAATTATTATTAATTTAATTTATGTATTATTATTTAATTAATTATTTAAATATTTTTTATATAATTACTTAAATGGATGATCCATTCAGGTTTTCTTTATTTTATTATTTTAGTTTTTAGTTTATTAGTTTATTGTATTTTAAATTAATATATAAATATCATTTAAATCTTTTTAAAATTTATTACGTAATTATATATAATTTTATTTTATTTTATTTAGTAAAATAATTATTAATAATTTAATTTATGTATTTTTATTTAATTAATTATTTAAATATTTTTTATATAATTACTTAAACGTATGTGTCACATCCGTTAATGGATTGGCCACATCTGTTAAGATTTTTTTTAAGTTTTTAGTTTATTAATTTATTGTATTTTAAATTAATATCTAAATATTTTTTTATATTTTAAATTAATTTATGAAGTATTTCATTTTTTTGTTTTTATAATAAATTATGTAAATAAAAAATATTATTAAAAAAATCTAAAATAAAAACAATAAACTAAAATATAATAAAGAAAGTTAAAATATGTAAAAGGATGTCAACATCCATTAAAGGTAAAATGGATGTTGACATTCGTTTTATAACAAGGATACGTTAGATATGAAGTGATGTAGAAAACATTTGGTGGTGGTAGAGGAACAAGACTCACCTCATATTTATTTGTGAACGAAAAAAATATCGTTTCTAACATGTCCAAGGAATTTCTTCCTGTACCTCCAATTTTTCTTACTGTACTTTCAAAACTGTGGTACCAAATAAGTCCTTTGAAAAAAACTTATGTATATATATAAATATATATAATATTAAATAAATTATGTAAACAGTAATTATTATTACTTTTTATCAAACATATTTACATAATTTGAAACTTCACTCATTGGTTCATCTTCCTTCAGGTCTACATATTATATTCATTTTTGTAGATATTTTTCGTTCATCTTTATTTGAAATTGAATATTTAATTTTATTATATTTTGCACATTTCAAAATTTAAAATCCAGATTTGTAAAAATATTTATCAGATTTTGTGATTCAGTTTAAGAAATTCACCGAATTTCGATTAAGAAAATTTACTAAATTTCGAAACTTATGTTTTTTCTCAAATTTTAAAATACAAATCAACTTTGTTTCAAATTTCAAAATTTGATATTGTTTTTATTTTATTTTTATTTTTTTAAATTGTTTTGTTTGTTTTGTTTTATGAATTTCTTGATCTCTAGTTTATTATTATTATTGGACAAGTAAAGTATGATGAGGTCATGTTGTAGGTGGATAAAGTCTAAGATGAAAAATTATTTTTTAAGTTTGATGAAATTACAAGAAAATTTCAACTTCATGTTAGATTTATCTTCTTTTATAAATGAAATCTGCGAGAAAGATTACATAACTAACTTTATATCTAATAAGATATCTTTTGAAACACATGATGGGTTAATTAAGTGAGTTTAAGGAATTGTTTTTATCTTGTCAAAATTCAGTTTAAAATTTACCGGATTTTGGTATAATATTAGATTTTGAAATTCGATTAAGAAGTTTATGGAATCTCAAAATCTGATTAAGGAGTGTACTAAATTTCAAAATTCAGTACATTTTTTAATCGGATTTTAAAATTTTAATATTCAGTCCAAATTCAGAATCATTTTAACCAGATTTCAAAATTTGGTACAACTTTTAACTAAATTTTAAAATATGATATTCAACCCTAAATTCTCAAATTCGATTTTTACTTACGCTTTTGACATATAATTCAATAAAACACATACAAAATTTTATTATCCGTAATATATGATAAATGTAATGTGTATCTTGTTTGTTGTTAGTGGCAACAACCTTCTTCAACATGGGTGTATGGTGCATTATGTGAAGAGAGGGATATGTGTTGCCTAAGGTACAGGGTGAAGGAGAGTGAAAACTGCGACGTAAGGGTTAGGAAAATTAATTTTGAGGAAAAGTAAGTGGTGGGTTAAATACAAGGAGAGAAAATAAATTACCTGATCAAAAAGTCTAAAGTCATTTTTTAGAAAAAATTGAGGTGCAGAAACAAAAATTGGAGGTGCAAGAAGAAGAAAAGTACACAAGATAAAGCTCACATATAGCCCAAAACCAAATACTATAAGGGCTCTCTTGATTATACGAAAGGGCTTTTTTATTCCTAGACTCATTATTATTATTACTAATTGTCACCCCATACAAACAGAGTAAAAATTCCTACTACTACCATCATTACTAGGGTGTTGCTTACTCCACCACCACACCTTTCTCCCTCCACCTCTCCTTTACTATTTTGTCTCTCAGTAAAATTATATTTTTAGGGTTATTATTTTTTAATTTTACCCATTCATAATTTATTTCACTAATAACTTATTCTAGTCCCGTACATGATTAAAATATTTTTCTTTCATTTTAACATTATATTCTTCCTCTCTTTCTTTCGTCGTTGTGAGATGCTACAAGTTGCAAATGTTGGTGGTGGTGGAAAGAATTATCAAACAGTCTCCCTCTCGTGGTGCAGTGTTGCTCTCGTGGTGCAGTGCGTGGAGTGCTTCCTCCAGGTGCGTATTCGAATAAACCTTGAAATAAACAGATGTTGACATTCGTGGAAGATGTCACCTCTGTTTAAAAGTTACGTTTTTTATTTTAGGGTTTGTTTTATTAGGGGACATCCGTTGAAGGATGTCACCTCCGTTGATGTATACTTCCTCATGCTGGTTGATGCTCTGAACACTCCTCGATGTTCCTCCACACCACGGTAGCGACGCTCCTTCACACTATGGTGGCAATGGAAGCTTTCAAACAAAAAAAAAACTGGGAAGAAAAAGAAATGAAAGTGCGGGAGGTGGGGAGGTGAAACGAAAATGGGAAAGGGGAAGAGAGTTCCCTGGGTGGGCGTTGGAAAAATAAAATTAGGGTTTCAAATTATTTAAAATAGGGTAAAAGTAAAAATCTTTTTAACTTAAGTATATAATTGTATTTAAAATAATGTGGGGAGGTGGAAGAAATATAGGGTGGTGGTGGAGGGAGAAACACCTTTATTACTACTACTAAGGAAGAAAAAGAGAGAACAAATTGCAAAAAAATATCATTTTAGAAAACTCATTCGTTCTGGAACTCATCTCGTGTTCTAGAAAAACTTATTCAAGACTCATTCCCCAAAATTCATTCAGAAAAGTATTACGAAAACTTGTTCCAAAAAACTTATTGCATTATAATTTTATGTGTTCCATAAAACTTATTCTAATTAATGTTATTCCAGATATCTGTTTTGAAAAACTCTGTTTCGAAAATCATGTTACACAAATTTTAAAATTTGTTTTGAAGATTTTCTTAAACAAATAATCTAGAAGTAATTTTTATAAGAGATAAAATGTCATTTTAAAAATTGAGAGTGCAGCGAAAAAGAAAAAAAAACGGAAGGAAATTTTGAATGTCTTCAGTGAAAAAGGCTTGTAAAACATGCAATCTAAAATTCTTAAAAGCTAAAGAACGTTATGTTCGCACTGCAAAATATTTATCTTTTAAAATAATTTATTTCATATTTAAAAAAACATCATTAAAATTTCAAATCCTATTGAAATCTGTTTGTAATTTAATTCGCTTTATACATGTTAATGATTTTCGCGTCATATGAAATTACCTTCAACCATCGCTTAATATAAATAATATTAAAAATCTTAACTATTCTTTTCTTGTCTTCTTCCCCCTATCTTTAAATCAGCACATAAATTCCGCACCTTTCTCTATTCTCAAATCATGCCACCATATTATATATAATTGAACTTATTATTACTCCACTACACACTATATATAAATATATTGTAAATATGATTTGGAATGAATACATGTGTATTGTGTTGAGGAAGAGACACGTTATGAATGTATTCGCTTACAAGACAAAAATTCAAATTCATCCAAGCAGCACACATTATTTTATTCATGGATTAGGTAACATAGTTGAAACTCGTGTTTTTCCGTATGTTGCGGGTAAAAGGAGCAGAGTGATCAGATGATGCGGCGGCACAGTGTAATGCCGTCACCAACGGGAAGCTGGCAAATCTCGACCCTTGAATCAAGTGCAAGTGCTTGATTCAGCTCTATCACAAAATCGCGATAATACTTAATATAATCCAAGAGAGGAGCATCGGATGGGGCGGCCACAGAGCCGTTCCACAGGGTGTTATCGTAGGCGATCATTCCCCCAATCTTGACAAGCTCAATCACCCTATTGTGATAGTTCAAGTAGTTATCCTTATCAGCATCGACGAAGATGAAATCGAAGCTTCCCTTGTTATTTTCCTGTTCATGTTCATGCAATGCAATACACATTCATCAACAAACACCATAGACTTATATACACATAATTTTGACACTGATTCTTTCTTTTTCTTGAAAACAATGTGCATGGATTGATTGAACTCACGTCTTTGATGAGTTGATCAAGAAGAGGAAGTGCTGGACCTTCTCTGAAGTCAATCTTGTGAGCCACTCCTGCCTTTTCAATCACAGGCAACCCCAGTTCATAATATTCCCTGCTAATATCCATTGCCAGGATCTGTTTCGTTTCAACAAAACCTTAATTTCATCACTTATATGCACCTTATATATGATATATATNGGACATAATCACAAGGAAAGGTGAGCTAGTTTATAAAAGGAAAATGAATAAAGCAATCAAAAAGATTTCAAACATAGGTGTCGCAACCGAGATCGCGACGGGACAGCGACCCGAAAAACAAACGGGTTTGAGAAAAAGATTTGTGGAGTCGCCACCATAATTTATTATGGAAAACCAAAAAATAAGACATGGTCTGCGAAAAGAGATTTTCAGGTTCGGGAATCGGTTACGCGTAAGGAAGGTGTTAGCACCCTATCGCGCCTGCCCAAAGGCAGTACCTTTAATTAAATGTATAAAGATTGAAGTGGTTTTTTAAATGTTTAATTTTCCCTAAAAATAATATAAAGAAACTATTAAGAGACAAAAAAATATTTTTTGTTTTATGAACCCGACAAGAATTGACCTTGGTCCTACGTACATCCATTTAATGGACAATCAGGGATCACGTAGTTCTTTATGTAGAAAAAGGTTTGTGAGTTTGTTTAAAAAAAATATTATAGATTGATTTGGATATTTGAAAAGTGAACACGAAAAAAAATTTGGTTTAACAAGATTGATATTTTTTTACTTTAAAGATTTTGTATTTTTTATTTTTAAGAACGGTGGGAAAAAGGAAAGAAACCGACCATATGTCGACGCGTATCTATACTTCAAAAATCATGATTTTTAAAAGAAAGTCCTTTATGTATAAAAAAAAATAAAACCTTTAGAAAAAACCTTCAAATTGCAACAAAAAAGAAAAAAAAAGAAGGTGTGAAGATGACGTACCTTTTCAGCTTTCAATACTCTCTAATTCTTCCTTGGTAATTTCTGTTGGCAGAGTTCCTCTAGCGTGATAAATTACTTTTCTCTTTCTCTATACTCTCTTATACCTTTTCTATCTCCATTATTCCATAGTGTCTCTCTCTATATCTTCTTCTTTTTTTCCTTTTTTTTTTCGTCCCCCTCTTCTATGGCAGAGTGTGTATTTATATACACACATCGTAATATTATGAAAATCTTGCCTTAATTGACAGTAAAACAAAACAGGGAAAGAAATTGCATGGTTGCCAGAAAACAAAATAAATAATATTCAAAACATTGATTATCATTATTGTCAGAAAATCATAATTTCCTCTTTAAAAGCAACTGATGCAACAAATTATGTTAATATACTATTTTGATTTATTGTTTATAATTATTAGCATAATATTAATTCAAATTATTACCATATTAAACTAACATTTCAAAAATATTGTAGTAAAATCATTATTTTATCCCTTTTTACCCACCATTAATTATTATTATCTTATTTTTTATTATTTTTAAATATTTACTTACCCGGACGAAATTGGGTGTTGACAATAGGCATATAATTCAAATAGTCATTAAAGAATAAAACATATAAAACAAACACTCTAACTTAATTATCCGGATACATGCATTGATATCAGACTCATTGGAGACATGAATTTGTAGTGACCTCTATTGCTCTGTAGAGTTATTGCAATGAGTTTCACCTTACTATACACAAGGTTAATCCCCTTCGCCTCTTATGCTAAGGAAAAACCCCTATATTAGGATTCTTGCTACTCTCACCACATATCCAATTCTACTCTATGTGTGAGTGAATAGTTATTAGAGTGTCCAAGACAACACAACACTAGGATTTTCCCCATAGAATCCCATAAGTCATAACAACTCATATTATTACTACAACCATTAGAAATTAACTCATATAAGCAATTAAATCCAACAACTTATCGAAATCACGGTTTCATAACAAACAAATCACTACATTTACTGGCGCTCAACGATGCAAACCACTACTCAACACCATGTTAGCGGTAAAAAGCCATTGCTTAACACTTTATCAGTAAGTTATGTGAAATCAAATTTTCAATTATGCACAATTGCTCAAATTGGCACGATCTGTTATCTCCCTTCCATTAGTACAAAAATAGCATATAACGTCACGTGTTCAACGTCCAACCACTGAATAACCAACATTATATTTATTATGTTGGACTATTATACTTATCCTTATCTTCCTTGTTTGATGGTGGTAACTATTTTACAATTTGGAAGACACATATCTTAATTTTTTTCTAAAGAATTTTATATAATAAGACATTATATTAATCTATTTAATGAAAATAGCTCATAAGATTTTCATTTTAAAAATATTTGGATTTAAATAATTCTAAAGAACATATAGTTTTCGGATGTTTTTTTTTAAGGATTTATTCCAAAAGGGAAAAGAACTTTCAAATGTAAAAAGAGTAAACTACGAAGTATAATATTCATGAGGGTGTATATAGGTGAGGAAAGCAATATCCAAACTTAATATTTGAGATTTAGATTCCACTCAAGAACCATGAGTGGTTTATCATACACTTTCAATATCTCATTTTGCACCTCAAAAATTCCAATTTTAATCTTTTAACATTTTAACCTATACCTTCAACTTTTTTTAAAAATTTCATTTTTAACTTTTAATAAATATATTTTTGTTTTCTTCTTTTTTTAATTAAAGTACTTTAATAAATATCTTTTCACTTTCTTCTCTTTCTACACTCTCCACCATGATAATTTAATTTAAAATTTAAATATTATTTAATATAATTTAATATTTTAATATTTATTAAAATATGATTTATATTATAATAATAGTTATATTAAAAAAATAAAAATAAAAAATGAAATAATAATAATATAAAATTGATTTGATATATTAAAATATTACAATAAATTAAACAATTATTAAATTTTAAATAAAAAAAATTTTAAATATGCTAACAGTTTTGTTTTATATTTAAAATTTAATAAACATTTCATTTAATTGAAAATTATAATATTATTTATTATATTTTATATTTTAATAAATATTAAAATATTATGTATATTTTTATAATAGTTTTATTAAAAAAATAAAAATAATAATAACTAAAATAAAAATAATAATAGTGAAAATAAAAATAATATTTAAAATTACATTTAATATATTTGAATATATTAAATTAAATTAAATAATTATTAAAATTAAATGAAAACAAAAGTTTGAAAAAATTTATCCATATCCGTATCATATATTATCGGATCTTTATATCCGATTAACTAATATTTATAAAAAGAATTATTTAAATTTTAATAATTATTTAATTTAGTTTAATATTTTAATATAATGTAATATATTAAATGTGATTTTAAACACTATTTTTCTTTTCATTATTTTTATTTTTATTTTAGTAATTATTAATTTTACTTTTTTAATAAATTATTATAAAAATATAAATCATATTTTAATAATTATTAAATTATAAAAATATAATAAATAATATTATAATTTTTAATTAAATTTAGTAATTATTTAATTTTAAATAAAAAATAAAACTGTTAACATTTTTTATCGATTTTAATATTCAATAAACAAGTTTTATAAAATTTTTGTTTTCATTTAAAATATAATAACGGTTTAATTTATTTTAATATTTTAATATAATTTAATATATTTGAATATATTAAATCAAATTTTATAGTATTCTTATTATTATTTTTTTTATTACTTTTAATTTTATTTTCATTATTTTATTTTTATTTTTTAATATAACTATTATTATAATATAAATTATATTTTAATAATCATTAAAATATAAAATTATATTAAATAATATTTAAATTTTAAATTAAATTAAATTGTTACAAAGGTGATGCAGAATCCCTTTATTAACAAAGAAAAAAATATAAAGATATTTATCAAAGTACTTTAATAAAAGAATAAGAAAATAAAATTATATTTATTAAAAGATAAAAAAGAAATTTTTAAAAAAAGTTGGAAATGCATTATTAAAAGTTAAAAAATTAAAAGTGAAATGTTTGAAGCCATTCTCACGAACCAGCTTCTTCGGCCTCAATTTTCTACTTTTTAGATTCATTGAGGACTTTTACTTCCTGCATCTACGTAATTGCTTTATACATCCTCCCAAACTTATGAAATGACGACTTTACCCTTCAGAAAAATAACTTTCAAATCATATATTTTCGGAAGCTTTTCAAAATTTCCTAAACAATATTTTTGGAACACAATTTTCAGAACAAAAATTGAGAACGTGACTTTTGGAATAAATTTTTCAGAGTTGTTCGATTAAAAGTTTGAAGCTTTGGATGAGACGTGAAAAATAAAAATGATTAAGAAATTCCTTTGAAAGGTGAAACCAAACATGTCCTTAAAAAGTTTGTGACATTACATTACAGACAAATACTAAAGACAAGGAATAGAAAAGTTAAAGTAAATGATTAGACAGTACATAGAGGAAGGAATTTTCATCTTTTAGAATGAAGTGCAATCATCACTGTCACAATATACCTTTTTTATACTGTAGTTGTAGAATAAACTAAAATATTAGGAAAAAACAATAGAGGAACAAGTTTGGTATGATTTAGATTTTTGGGATTGAAAGTTAGATGACCGATTTAACAAAACATTTTTATCTTTATTTAGTTTTTTTCTTCTTCTTTCATACTGCTCTCTTTTCAGACAGAATATTCTCTGTTTCACCGCAGAATACTTTCTTATTTTATAAATTTGTAGTTTAATTTTTCTGAAATTTAGAATTATATTATTTTAATTTTTTTATAATTTTTATTTAATGCCATAATTTTATAAAACTTATATTTTAATTAATGTTTCATTTCCTAGAAATATACATTTTAAAATATAAAAAGATTCTTTTTTTTATTTTATGGATAAGATCTTACTTAAAAGTCCATAATCTTAAATCTTATGGTATATTAGTATATTCAAATAAGTAGTTCTTGTAACAGTTGGCTTCTGAGTTCGTTATATAACTTATATTATACAAATGTTATTATGATTTATTGGATAAATAGATTATTTAGCATAACAAGTATTAATATAATTTATTCTTAATATGATGTGAAAAAAATTATCATTGGTACATATTTTTTTTATTAGTTG